GTTTTCATTGAATGGTCTCTTTTTACGTTAATGTTGCTGATCATATGCTGGGGAAGCGAAGTGGTAAATTAAAATGATTTGTGAAATAAAAGGTATTTGGTTTTGAGGATGTTTAAGGCAAGTTTATTAGCTTTGAACCACTCGTATAATCTATTGTACATAAAACGTTTGAGAAGCTTTGAAAAGCAAGAAAGTATTGATATTGGCCTATAGCTGGATGCTAAAGAGTCGTTGCCATTTTTATGAATAGGGACTACTCTTATTTATTAGGATATTAGGTATTTTTAGCTATTTTAATTTATCAGGAAAAATAACAGTTTTTAAAGAGGCGATTTAATAATATCAAATACTGATTTGAAAGCAATTACAATTATTTCGTCGATTCCTGGACTCTTGTTGGTTTTTAGTAAATTAAAGGCTGTTCAAAGTTCATCCGAATATATTTTAAACTCATTCATAACTAAGTGTATTTAAAAAAAAAAAAAAGACTTAAAAGTTTTATTTCCTGAAAATATTTTTTCGGCTATATTTTTACCAACGTTTATGAAGATTTCATTAAACATATCAGCAATTTTTTCTCTGTCGAAAACATTTGTGTTCATTTATGTTTCTAAACCCTTTGTGTTTATGTTTAGTTTCTTTTTTCCAGTTACTTCTTTTATTATATCCCACTTTTTTCTTATTTTATCTATTGAATTTAGAGCAGATTGGAGCAATATTTTTTTAATTTGTTTTTTTTAATTTGGTAAAAAAGTTTATATATTTTTTAAATTTAGTTTGATTAGTTAAAGTTTGATTTTTTTTAATTATCGTAGAGCTTTGCTTCTTTTTTGAAGACCTTTTAAGCTCTTTTGTCATCCAAGGGTTACGCAGGTTTTTAGAACTAAATGTTTTTTTTGGTCTTTAGAAAAGCATTTTTATGTTGTTTAAAAAATAAGCATATAAAAAATCATTAGTATTATTCGTATCTTTGCACTCAGCTATGAGTTTCCAATTGGTTTCATGTATTAAATTGCGAAATTTTTTTATAGAATTGTTGTTTATTTGTCTGACGTAGATGGTAAAGAAATTACTATCTTCAATAATTAAGAGATCGGTTATCAGAAAATTTAAAAAATGGTCACTTATATCGGATATTATTATATTAACACTTTTGATTTTATAAGTCATGTAGTTATTAGGTCAATGATTGAAGAAGTTAAATGAGTTACACGCGTCGGTTTGTTTATTAGTGGTATAACGCTGTGCTGAAAAAGTGTATTTACAAAGCGCCTGACGTTGGAATCGCAATTTGTATTTAAAAGGTTTATGTTAAAGTAAGATGTTAAATAACTGTTTTTACTTATGTCAGGTAATATGCGTTCCAGATAATTTTGAAATAGTTTTAAATTGCCATTTGCGGTCTGTATAGAGCAGTAACAAAAGTATATTTAGTTTTGTGATTGATTGTTTCAATCTGCAAATATTTATGCTTTGCCTTAGCATAAATAATGCAGATTGCGGTGGAGTGTGTCTTTTTGTTTTAGATTCTTTTATTTTCAAAAGGATAGAAAACCTTAGCCTAATGTTTTCTATCCTTGTGAAAATAAAAAAATCTAAAACAAAAAAACACACTCCTCTGCCGACGCCCTTTTTCCTTGCTTGATGAATTGATTTATTACCCGATAAATAAAAATTTGAGTTTAAATCATCTGCATTTCGAAACCAGGTTTCTATTAGACATATTACACTAAATTTATAGTTTAAGTTTTTTAACATTATTTTTAAGTTTTCATAATTTTTATTCATACTCCGGATATTTAGGTTTAACAGCGAAAAAAAAATTGATAAAAGAGAAAGGTAGAAGCCTCACTGACGTTAAAATAATTAGTTTCGATTGAAAGTTTGTCAAAAATATTTACGTCAGGATCAATGATCAATTAAATTTGTTAAAAGTAAATTATCTCTGTGAGACATATTTAAAATGTTTGGTATATTGGTTTCCGCCATGTTGAATGTAATCATATTCTTAAAGCTATTTTTATGGTTGATTATATTTTATTGTTATTTTTTGTTTTAATAAAATGTTTTTTGTTATTTTTAATGAAAGCGTAATTTAGATTAATAATTTTGTCATACCTGACGGCAATATTCTCACCGTTTTGATGTCCTTTTTTGACTTCAGTCAGCAATCTCTTTCGAATTATTACGGAATCGAGGGAAAAATCTTCGTTTACATTCTTGTTCGTTCCTTTTAATTTGTGCGATTCTTGAAGGACTTTAGCTTTATCTTTGTGTCTAAATAAATTAATTAAAACTGTTCTTGGACGTCCATCCAATCCTGTCCAATGAGCTTGCTCGATTTCAACTCCATTTAGTCCTAATTTATTTTTTAAGAATGGTTTCAATCCAAGTTTCTTTTACACTTTCTGGTATACCATCAATTCGCAAATTTTTTTTCGAGATCTATCTTCGATTTTTCTATATTTTTTGTTTCTATATTCCGCTAGAATGTTTTCCTTTTCAAAGCTTTTGTTGTTTTGTTCGTAGAATTTCGCAATTTTTTTATCTTTAAATGTTTAAGAGTACTTCTTAAAAATTTAAAGATAATTTAATGTCTTCAATATCTTTTCCGAAAATTTTGATTTGTTTAGCATTTTCTTAAAAATATTGTTCAAGTCGCTCATTAATGATTTTAGTGTTTGCACTTAAAATTCCAATAAAAATTCTCTCTTGTTTTTTTAGCATCGCCTCTGTTTCTTTTCTACATTCAATTAATATTTCCTGTAGCATTTTTCCTAATTTCAACAAGTGTAACTGCCATTTGTTATAACGTTTTAAAATACAATACTTTTTTTTTTTTTTTTAATTTTTTAAAGTAAAATTTTTTTTTAAACAGATGAAAACGCGCCTGCTCTTCTTGAAGGCTTATTGCAAAAAAAAAAAAAATTGCTTTTTAAATATTAATAAACTGATATATAAATAATAATAAACGGATATGTAGTTATTAATAAACTGATATATAATTATCAAGAAACCGCTATATAATTATTAATAACCCTGTGAATCGAATGATGGAAGCAGTTCTTTAAAGTTGATTACTGTTTATGTTGACAATGCAGCATAGCAATCGTTCTTTGTACTCTGGTTAATAACTATTTTGTTTATGCAGCTTAACAATTTTTCTTTATACTCTGGATAATTATTGTTCTGTTTACATATTGTTCAATGTTTACAGCATGGCCCCAATAGGTATTCTTTGCGACTGATAAAATCTTTGATGTTGTAGAAGAAGGTGTGAATTTTGGGTGTTATGCTTGCACTAGTTATCATTAAGTAACACCTTTTAAATGTTCATTTATTTCTGCAATTCAGTATAATCCGACTAAAGGTTATATCCAAAACAACCTTTTACAACTAAGTTGAAACTTTATAATGCTTTTAAATAAAAAGAATGTTTGAAACCAAAAAAAAAAAAAGCTTGTATCAGCAAGTTGCTGGAGCACATCCACATTTTTAGGAAACTTCCTGCATTTATTTCCTTTGAAATGATTCAAATGTAACGGACTCAGTTATTTGCGGAGGACAGCGGTCAATTTGCTCCATGCAGTTTTAAGGTTCTTAAAAAGATGATTGACAACTCCTATAAAGAGATGCAACATCATCTGTGGACCTTTTTCTAAAATCAGAACATTTTCAGGCCCACTGAGTTTGTTTTTAAGATAGTGGTATAAATCCTAATGCAATATTAACAATGCTTGACCTAGACAAGATTTGAGAAAACCTTCACCACCATCTAATCTCCAAAGCTTAACAAAATGCTACCGAAATTTTGAAAGATTGAATACCATGTTTTACAAAACTTGATAAATGCTCTGGTATCTTTTGCTGCTAAAGGTTGAAGGTTTTTCCTGAATTTTATTAGAGATCATTGGTGGAACCTTTTCCTAAAGGGCAGAGGCATGTGCTAAGACTTACATTTGAATCTTTTTCAATTCTAGTTTGCTCTTTAGGAGGATGTTTTTCTTTTAGGCTTTAAAAGACTAATTTAGCAGATTAGGAAATAAAACTTGCCTTTGTTTCAGATCTTACTTGTGGTAAATTAAAATTAAACAAAGAAGAAGTAAATTTTCTTTCCTTTTGTTTTATATGCAAAATTGTTCTTCACGATACGCAAAGTCCTTCTGAGAATTATTGATATTTGTCTCGTACAGCTAGCATATTCAATCTGCTTAGAAAGCAGTGAGCTGTCTTAAACATTTTTTCAAGGAAGTAGCTGTCTTAAACATTTTTTCGTTAAACCTTAAACTATTATTTAACATTTTCATTCATTTTGACATCAGTTTATATTTGAAACAATGATAAGATTTTCACGCAAAAGCAAATCAATATGGTTTAGAAAATGAAAATGGTAATTGTAGCAGCAAAACAATTATAACAAAAAACATTGGTATTCATAGTAGAACACTCTTGTACCCGATAGTGTTCTACTATAGTTACTATTTTCGAAATAAAAGTTTTTTCAAAAATAATAACCATTCTGCTATAAATCCCTAACCATTATGTATGAAAAAATTTGAAACATTTTATATGCATATAATATAAATAAAGATACTTTTTTCTAAAACATGTTTGAAAAATTTTTCTAAACTAATTAAAATTCAAGCAAAGAAATTGCGCTACTTTGTTTAAAGATTTTGCTTTCGTGCAGTAAACGTGCAAAGTATTTCTGAAAAGTTTTTCCTCGCAAAAGCAAGCGAACAATTGAAAAACCAATTTTTGACAACTTCAGGTACATCATACAAAATTATGTTTGTTAATACAATTTTTTTTGATATTATTAATCAGTAGTAATCAAATATTTTTTAAGAAAAGTAATTATTTTTCTTTTGCGTTTTTTATAGCTATATTACTTTATTTCTTTATACTGTTAATAGAAACTAATGTAAAAAAATTTTATTAATCAATAAAAAATAAAAAGATATTGAAAAATTTAAACTTATCAACTCGGTTATATTAAAATAATCTAGATTGATAAAGCAATAAAAGTTAAATATAAAGACACTTATATTATTAAAAATTTAAAGAATTATTTATAATTTATTTTTAATTATTTATACTTTATAATTAATTATATATATAACCACAATAAACTATTTGTATGTTTTAGCGTATCTCACATTGTATGCGTTTACCAAATCGTTTCCTTTCCCACTCAATTCACCAACGTTACTCAAAATGCGACGAGTAACAATATCTGTCAAAATATTAGCTCCGTCCGACGAGTCAATATTTAGTGCTTCACATTTACCACCAGTTTCTTTTGAAATTTCTTGGAAGTTTAACTTTGCTCCTTCGTCAAGGTAAAAGGCATGAACTACTATTCCTTTTTTTTTTAGTTTTTCCACTTCATCTAAATAGAAAGTAGGAACCTTAAAATCAGTATTTTTCCAATATTTTTCTCCCATCACATTTCGATATTTTTTAATTTGATCTTTTGTTTTCGCAGGAGCATCACCAATTAGAATGACTTGGTTAACTGTATTCTCGTCATTTTCTCTGTTAACATGCCACAAGCCGATTTCTATAGCTTCCTCGTAATCACCGCCATCACGTGCTAATATTTTATCCATAAACAGTCTTAAAATTTCTGGTTTTGTTTCCCAGGGTGAATACTGCAAAAGCCCATCACTTAAGCAATCGTAATCTCGATACACTGCAAACTGCATTTGAAATGATTCTGCTGGAATAGAATTCTCTTTTAAAATAGTCGAAGCCCGCTCAAACATGGTGCCAACAGTAACTTTAGCTTTGTTCAATAAATTACCCATGGAGCCTGTAGCGTCCATTAAACAAACAGTGCGCGAATTAATTATGGTTTTTGTAGATCCTATGTTTCTCTCGCTAAGAAAAGCTTTGATTTCATTGATTTCATAGTTGTTCAGATTTTTGACAAACTTCTCTCCTAACAAATGTTCTTTTTTTGCTTCGTTAACCAGTGTGTTTACATTCAAGTAGGTTAAGTCAAAGAGCTCATTTCGTTTTGAATTCAAAGTTTCGTAAAATCTTTTTTCATTTCGTAGCTTAATAATTATATTTGAGTAGTCAACTCCAAGATACTTTTCAAGATCGCAATCTCGTAAGACCATGCTACAGGAACCGTCTTTACCTTTTATTAAAATAAACCAATATTAATTTAATTTTCGTTTTGGTTACTTTAAAGTACATAAATAAATATAAGTTAGCATATTTGTATATTTAAACTGTTTATTTATTTTTTATGCAGGTAGATATGTATATATGTATTTTTTTTTCTTTTTTTGTATATCTTAAGGTTTTTATTATTTTTTATTAAATGGTGTCATATTTTTTTAAAATTGACTAAAAACGTTAAAGATGTTTAAAAAGTATAAAAAAGTTTGAGAGTTTTAAAGCATTGACGCACTAGGTAAAAAAGTAGATTGATTAAAGTCTTTAGAATATGAAAAAAATATAATATAAAAAGAAAAGTACGTTAGAGAATTTGTGGCTTAATTTGCTGATGACTCAGCTTTATGCTCCTATTTTGACAAAACGTCTTTGCTTATCAGTCACTTGAAAATATAGTCTATCTTGAATCTGATCTCTCTTCTGCAACAGCCTAGGGTTTCAGAAGAGTTGCACAGAAATTTTTCTGCAACAGCTGCAGTGATTTGGAATTTTAACTGCAACAAAATTCAGTTATTTTCTGCATGCGATTATGGCAATGCGGTTGAATTTCCTGAATTGATGAGTTTCTATCTATACTTGGTTTCGTTTGTGTCTATTATTTATTTATTTGTCTATTATTTATCAGTTGCAACAAAATATATTGTTATTGCTGCAGTTGTTGATATATCTCTACAATAGAGTCTATTACAGTTTGCACTGATATTTTGATTTGTATAATAATGTTTAAGCAGAACAATATACATCGTTTTGCTAAATCGCTATCACATATATAAACATATCACTGCAAGTTGTACTGGTTATATATCTATTTCACATACATGCAAAAACAGATAAATCTCTAGTACAGTGTCTCTTTATTAGGTGTCAAGTTTATTAAACTGACTGTTACATGATCTTTTGTTACAAAAAATAAGTAGCAATGATTTAATTTTATTTCTTAAAGTAGACATATATCAAATAATAATCAAAATAGAGTATCAATTATGGTAGATTTTTCTAGAAATTTTAAATTCACTAATACTGATTATATATATAAACCTCTGTTAACTGTATGTTAAGCACAATGAAACAAGTGATAAAATAAATAATATTCTACAAACTCTAATGCTGTCCGGAAAGTTTGATTTGAGACTTCTTTCTCAGTGCCCCGATAGATGGAATCAATTCTTTATTTAATAGTAAACATTGTATTTTGTCTATTTTCAATGGCTAGTAAGAACGCGAAAGCATCAATTGTTTATTATACAAGTTTGTTTAAAAGATTTAGTTGGAGAAGTTATCAATCTAACAATTAATTAGGAATTAATTAAAAACAATATTTTGTGTTGTTTTTTCTTTTATACTCCAGCACATACCTTTTTTAGATGTTTCTCAAGTCACACATCAAAAAACAGTGTGATTAATATACTTCTGCGGCAGACTATTTTCAAAAGGGAGTATTTATACAAACTACAGCGCAAATTAAAAAACTGATGCTGAATTGAGATCAAATACTTCCATATTGCATTAAAATAGAAACATCATATGCCTGCTAATAAATTGATCAGATATGGTTTGTTCATTACACGTGCAATTTGTTCCTTGGAGCACGTCATTGATGTTTTTATTTTGTCAAAAATTAAAAAACAACAACAGTAAAGTGTGAAATATAAATCATTTGTATTGATTTAATAACGGCTCTATCTTTTTTAAACTTTCAGGATATATAGTAAAATGTGAAATAGCACAATTTTGAATTTTAAAAGATATCATTCTTTTTATGTAAAGATAGAAAGCATTATGAACTCATGGAAACACTTCTTAACAAGGGAGAACAAAAGTGTTGGTTTAGAGTTATGAGCATTATATTTACGATTTCTTAACATCAGTTTTCTAGTTTATAATAAACCTAATTATAACCTATAATTAAAAAAGAAAGACCTTTCATTCTAATTCAAATATATTGTATTAACTCGTTCAAAAAAAGATTGATATATAATTAGTATATCGTTAATAAAATATAAATAATATAAAATTCTAGTTATTACATAATAAAAATTAAGCTCACTAATTCAAACATACATCAAAATTATTTAAATTTATGTATTTATTGTATTTTTGTAAAGGTTGTAAATGATATGTAAAATATTAAAGCTGTCATTGATCAAAATTGTATTGAACAAACAAAAACTAGATTTTTTTATGTTGTTATTATTATTATTATTATTTTTTTTTTTTTACTTTTACTTTTTTATCATATAAAAAGTGTTATATATAATATTTAGTTCTTTGGTGTATGTCGTATTAATGATGGCGATATAGGCAAAAAAAACAAAGAATACAGAAAAAAGAGAAGAGACAAAGACAAAGAATACAGAAATGTAAAAACAAACCATTTTAAAAATTTAAGAGTTTATAAGTATGTGGTCTACTTTAAACTGATTGCATCCAATCAGTATTAAGTGAGAATATTTTCTTTGCTTTAATTAATTTCCTTTTTTCTGATATAGAGTTTTTGAATTTTAAAGAACTATTGAAAAACATCCGAAGTATTGTTTGTCTTCGAAATCGTCCTTCTTTATGATGTACGACCAAATGTGAATATAGTCAAAACTTTAATAATCGATTGGAATTGTTTATAAAATAAATCGATTGCGATTGTTTATATATTTATGTAATGTGAAAACGTGAATTTAAAGTATACATAACATGCGATGTTGAGAACTTAATTTTCTTTTATAAAGATAAAGTTAACAAAAATATTTTATATAAAATAATTTATCATAACAATACTTTTAAATCAACGCCTCAGCAAAAACTGTTGGCATATTCTTATGTCTCGGTCTTCCCAATATTTTTTACTGCCTAAATTGAATAACAATGGTGTAACCTCAATTTTTATGTTCGGTGAAACAAAATAATAGTTTTTGTAAATAAAATGGTGTTTGTTTTTAATTTTTATAAAAATTTATTATTTTGGAATTGAAAAAAAGAGTTATGCAATAGAACAATATTGTGTAATTAAAATCAAGTTAAAATGTGGTATCGCAACTTTTCTTTATCAAACTGTATATTATCGTCCCTATGAGTTAAGCTCTCATAGTTATTGCACTTTCAGTTTAGTTTTTGCTACTACTTACGGAAATTATTTTTTCAAGTAGTTTTCGTCTGGTATTTTCTCTTATTCCGTGTTTTATCTAATTAATCAAAATTTAAAAAATGAAAATTCTAATTAAAAAGCATTAAAAAAGCATTAAGGGGTCGTCCATAAAGTATGTAGCTCATAGGGGAAGGGAGGAGGTCTTCAAAAAGTGTATGAAAGCGTATGGGGGAGGAGGGGGGAAGGGCTCATTTTAAAAGTACGTAATTTGAATTTCTAATTTTATACAATTAACAAGCTAGTCAATAGAAAAGTTAAAATTTCTGACTAAAGGTCCTAGTTTGCCAACATAAAAAGAAGTACTGTAAAGGTAATAGAAGGTAAAGTTTCTCTCTATGCACACACATAAACGGGCGTCAGCAAGATTTTTTGATGTTCCAGATAAACTACTTTCACACATCGTGCAAACCACAAACTTAAGTATATTTATACCTATGCCATTTGAAGAGGCCTTGCAAAGAATTGTTATGGTGGTTGTCTGGGACAAAAAAGCTCTCAAATGGTTGTATCACGTTCCCTGCCTAAACGTGAGGGCACTAATGTAGTAAAATTTTCCGATCCCCACTCTTAAAAAAATAAATAAATGAGCGGTTGTTCATTTTGCACCGACATTAATTACGGGGTATGGATAGCCTACACTTAGCACTGAGTTTTAAGCTTTGTTTTCAATATTACTCTTCTCGCGTGACTCGCATTTTACAGACTTACTAAAGAGGGGGGCCTAAAAAAAACATCTGCTTTAAGTATAGTTTATTTTTATTGAAACAACAAAAGGCGAAGGAGGTACCCTATATACTTTTAAAGTATCTAGGGTATCTCCTCCACCTTTTATTTATTTAAGTGAGGGGGTATATGAAAATGTACGTACTTTATAAGGGAGGTGGGAACTTAAAAGTCGGCATGGCAACAGGGGAAAGGGGTGTCAAATTTCAGAATTTTAGGCGTACGTACTTTATGAACGACCCCTAACCTCCGTAATGATAAGCTACAATGCGAATGGTTTTGTTTTTGGTATTTTATGGAGTCAAATCATTAGTGATAGTATATGCATTATAAGAATTTTGAACTAATTTAAAAATTCTTGAAATATTAGGTTTTTGTGCATATTTAGATAGCATGTAACATTTGACCAAAAAAATATCCTTGTGTTTTTGAGAACTAGAAACATTGTTTTTTTCCCCTTTTTCAACAAAATTATGGGCAAAATTACGAATGGTAATTTTAAAATAATAAGTAGTATATATTATTTAAAAATAATTTAATACTAAATAAATAGTTTGTACCCAATATAAATATAAATATAAATATATATATATATATATATATATATATATATATATATATATATATATATATATACATATATATATATATATATATATATATATATATACATATATTTATATATATATATATATATATATATATATATATATAAATATATATATATATATATACATATATATATATATATGTATATATATATATGTATATATATATATATATATGTATATATATAAATATATATATATATATATATATATATATATATATATATATATATATATATATATATGTATATATATATATATTATATATATATACATATATATATATATATATATATATATATATATATATATATATATATATATATATATATATATATATATATGTATATATATATATATATATATATATATATATATATATATATATATATATATATATATATATATATATATATATATATATATATATATACATATATATATATAGTCTTGTATGGTAGTCACAAAGTTTTTCCCATAAACTGTTGT